TAATGATAATAAAATATTGTTCAATACAAAGTTAATAAACATTATGCATACAAAATACTGTAGGAGGGATATACAGGGTGTCCCGAAAATAGCGTTGGGTTCAGTCATCTTCATTTGAAAAGTTGGATAAATAAATAACAGTAAACTTTGAACTATCAATTATCAATAATTATGCTCACCACTGGTACATAGTACATATCTTGGGTATTTAGTAAATACTATTTACCCGAATTTCAATATACCGGGTATATTACCCATAACTGGTGCCATATGGCAAAATATTGTTGACAATATTTTGATATAATTTTGATTGCAATTTTATTATAAATATAAATTTCCTAAAAATGTTATTGTTATTGTTAAATTTCCAGAAAAATATCAAAGCAAAAAAATTAAAAACAAAATATTGTTTTGATAAGAATTTTCCGATATTTTGTAAATTTAATAAATATGCAAATTTCATACCAATATCAATTATTATAATAATTATTATATTTATTTAATGTGACACTTTTATAATAAATACATAGCAATTTGTCAATTTATTAAGCCATCCTAAACATTAAAATTCCCATTTGCGTACATCTACCAATTATTATTTAATTATTTTCAATTGAAAGTAATTGCTTAAAAAAATAAGGTGATGGTAATAATATAATAGATTTGTTGACGTAAAAAATTGCAGAACATGTTTTTGCTTGTAAAATTATTATTATCAAACAATTTTTTTAACCAGTCTTGTTTTACAAGTGTTTTCTCACTAGTGGAATACAGATTTTTTTCTACGACCCTTTTATTTTTTAATATTTTCAAGTACAAAACAACAAAATTATTTTCATCTTATTATATTCATTTTTAAGGTCCCAAGCAGCATTTTTGGTTCCAAAAACCATTACCAAAGTGGTGATAACTTTAAATTAGTTAAGTATACCAAACAGCTACTTTAATTTTTACTTAAAAGTAATTCTAACTTTTAAATAGCAATATTTTGTAACAGAAACTTCAATCTTTCCTTAAATGGTTACTATAAAGTAATAAACATTTAAGTAAAACTTGGTTGCCCCCAAGACTTTGCAACTTTAAAAAAGGTGTTATAAGTAAAAAAAAACTTTCAAGTAAATTTAATTTGTAGCAGTTACTTTCGGTTTCTACCTAAATATTACATTATAATTATTTTTTCTTTGTAGTCCCTTTGCAAGTTAAAATCTCGAAACTGGAACATGAACTAAAAACTACAAAGTTAATAACTTAAAAGTTATTATTTTAATATTTGAAACGTTTATGGTACTAACCAAAACTACCGTAAAGTAAATTAAGGTGAAAAAAACTTTAAAGTAGCGAAAACTACTTAAAAGGAAAATGCTGCTTATCGGCCAATTTTTACTGTACAGTAGTACCACGTGGTAATGTAAATAATAAATTATTTTAATTGTTTGTAAATGGTTGTTTACTTTTTAATAAATAGTAATTTTGTTGGTAATAGACGGTATTAATAATTAAATAAAAAATTAATAATAAATATTAAGGTTTTTATATTTATAAACATTATTAAATAAATAATTTGTTTATACTTAAATATTGATGAAGCGCATTTATTTAACAAAAACTAAATTCATAAGTTCAACAGTAAAATTAGAAGGGTTTATAAAGTTACCTGCATAATTAAACATTACATTGTTATTCTGGAAGTTATAAACTACCAGTACCAACATATTTAATAAACGACGACATTGAAAAGCCAAGTCCGTAGTGGTTCCATTTAAAAAAGGAGGGGTAGTTTAATTTAATATAAGTTTAACAAAGACAGTTAATATAAAAGTAAAAACAAATAAATAAAAGTAATTATAACGATATTGAAACGTTCTAGTAACGTAGCAGCTACGTTCCAAATTGTAGCAGGGTTTATAGCTAGTGACATATTTGCTACCTTTTTGGAACTCAATAATTGTTCCCCACTTTAGTCGTAACATAGTAATGAAAGAGTAATATAAAGAGACCGGCGACTGTCGCAAAACACTTTAAAGTTTCTTCAATAGTCCCATATACGTAACAAATACTTAAAATGTTGCTTGGGGTATAAGTTACTTCAAATCAACAAGCTTACTATCTTAATTTAAATAAAGGCACTAGAATTATACAATTAGAATTACCATTATACAATTAGAATTATACAAACAAAATTATTTGTGTTCTAAATGATATTTAGACATACCTACATATTTTGATTATATAAGAAACCAACAAGTTTTGCGTCTAAATGTCAAACGATGCTGTCAATTTCTTTTCATACAAACCTGTCACTTTTCACACAGAAATGTCACTTTACATTCGAGTTTTGCTTTGACAATGAAAAGATTCATTTCCTAAGCAACGATGCCATTACGAAATGTGATTTTTATATAATAGTTATTTGTTTTACAAGTGTTGAAAAGCGACTTTTCCATGCGAGTTTTTAAGTTGCCCACGAGGCCGTTAGGCCGAGTGTGCATTAACACGAGCTTGAAGAAAGCTTTCTCACAAGTATAACACAATGTTTTTTCTGCGACCCTTTTATTTTATATTATTTTTAAATACAAAACAAAATAACCTAAAAACTTTTTTGACAGCTGAATGTCAAACGATGCTTTCCGGTTCTTTTCACACAGACCTGTCACTTTTCACACAGAAATGTCACTTTACATTCGTGTTTTGCCTTGCCAATGAAAAGATTCATTTTCTAAGCAACGATGCCATCATGAAAAGTGACTTTTACATAGTGGTCGTAGAAAAAAAATATTTACGTATTTCGAAAAACTTCATTTATAATTAGTGCACATGAGTGAACATTATTTACTCTATATATTGTATGTGAACCAATTCAAAGTCCATTTTTTTTCCAAATCCGTACATTTGATATATATATATATATATATATGTATACAGTGAATGACCATTTAAACCAGTTAGGATTTAGTTTGAATTAGTATTTGTTTATCGCAACAAAAGTGATGTAATGTAATTTTTGGACTTGTTTATTGAGATTTTGTAACACAATAAAAAGCAATCTAGGAATTTTCAATGTCATGATTTGTTTCCTAAAGACGTTGACGGGATTTAAATCAACATGTTGCAACAGTTCGACTTATTTATATTCAAATCGAGGGGGTTTTAGGGCAAAATTTAAAATACAATGCCATAGGATTATATTAAATTGAAATAGGATTATATGCGGAAGAATTGTTGTAACTACTTAGGCGCATGAATAAAATCGTAATGTATTAAGCCTCTCCCAATTGTTTTTTATGATTTTAAAACGGAAGTTAGGATCAAGGATTTGTTTATTGTTATTATTTACAGCGCCTTACTTGTTAAATAAATGTAAACAAAAAAACGATTATTTAATTTAAAAAAAAAGGTTTGACGATTTTTTACTCGTTAAATAGGCAAAATATTTAAAAATATCAAGTACCCAAAGTTCGTTTCTTAATTTTTTATATTCTTGTCACAAATTTTAAATGTATTTTTTCCCTCTCGATGTCTTCGGCATCATTGCATTTATTTTTCGAAACATTTGCCTAAATACCTAAAAAGGTGTTATTGGTACCTGTAAAAGAATGGGTAAAAGAGCCTTGCCTTTTAGAAACAGGTCTTGTATTCTAATATAATTAATTAATCTTTTACAAGAACAAACACTCAATAAAATTTCCACCAACTTCAACAAAATTTCTTTGTTCTTTTCAGAGGCTTTAAGCCGTAATTTTCGTTTTTTTACCTTCTAATGCAAATTTACTTATACCAAAACACATTGCAAACTGCGAACATAACCCAATTGTGTATGTTTTGTATTGCCGCAAGTTTTTGTCAATAATAAGGTTTAGTCAGTTATAAATGTATTTTTCTACTCCCACCTTTAAAACGCCCTTTATCGTTCATGTTTCCAAGACACTAAGTGACCTTTTAAATAAACATTGACAAGTTGTGGCTTTATGGCGCTTTAGTCACGGGCTGAAGTTAGCAACAGGTTTTTAGTCACGGGCTGAAGTTAGTTTTAAGTTAGTTGACAGTTGTCAAATGTCATACAATCGTTAAAATAAAGTGCCTTTCTTGTAAAATAATACTAAATGTGAAAATTATTTTATTATCTCAATACAAAAATACAAAAGTATTAAATAGTTTCTTAACGCCAATATTTGAAAAGTTTATACTTATGAACATTGTACTGACCTTTTAATTTCGGCGGCAGTAAACTATAACTTAAATTCGGACACGGACTCCACTGTAAAGTGCTCATAAAACATTTTCTTTACTTTCACTGTGAAAAACTGTCAATTTTCAAGAAATACATTTCGATTTATAACCTTTATAATCTGTGTTAAAAAAAAAAAAAAATGACATTTGACGGTGACACACAGATTCCCCTATTGTTTCATAGATGACGCTCTATACAAATTTTTGATTTAAATCATTTATCGTTTATCAAACTTGATACATAATATACTATTATGTGTATATTTAATAATAATCACATATTTAAGTATGTGAGATAACCTACAAATCTTTACTGTCATTTAAAATTTGCCAAATTGGTTCAAACTTAAATCAGTGGATATAAATAAATCGGTTACTTTACAATACCGTAAAGGCTTTATTCTTTCTGAAACTGAGTATATGCATAATATAAATATAAAAATAATTTATTTTCATCATCAAAGAGAAAATATGCAAAATGTCACTCAAGCAATAAATACCCAAGTAGACATAACAATAGCGTGTTTTTTCTGTTATATAATGTGGCGTCACGACATGCTGCCTCATCTTGCCAGGGAATTTCCTTTCACTTTTACTATAATTTTTATCTGCAAATTTCAAAGTCCAATTTGCATGCGTAAAATAACTCGTTTCCGTAGTAAACTACAATCAATGTTTAGTTAACATTTTGGTAGTGTGACTTCGAAGAAAAGCGTGGAATCATTGCCAACAAAAATGGTGGTTAAGATGTAAAACATGTTTTCTTTATTTAGGACAAAATACCAAACATCCAAAATTTTCGACAACTGATGGGACAAACGTTGTACATGTTCCACGTTCAAAAGTGTTTTATGACTTTCTTTTGTGCCTTCGAAGAATTTTCGTAGTGACCAAATTTTAGAGATTTTTTTCTCAGAATTGTACGAATTTTTAGTGAAAGTGCTTGCAGAAATGGCCGCTAGAGGAGCTCGGTTTATCGTGTCCGCGCGGAAATTTGGGCGCATGCTTACCTTACCAAGGTAAGTCACAGGATTAAATGCTTAATTAATATGAATCCAATTCTACAAGGAGTAACCATCACGTCAGGTTTTTGTGAAATTCTAACCTAAAATTGGAAAAAACGCGTTTTGTCAAAAATAGAAATATTTGGGTGATTCTACAAAAGTTGGGCAACTTTTGACCTCATTTTGTTTTTTTAGTTTTCGGAGAAAATTAAACAGTATTTTGTTGGGAACATAGATAATATAATAAATATACTATTCCAGACCGGGCCACTCACTTTTTCAAACAGTTTCTGAAATATCTTTGTTTTCTAAATTTGAACGCAAGGAAAGTGACGAGTATACCAGGGTACTAATTAAATACATAATTTATTGGAAAATATAAGATTTATTAATATTTAATGTATAATATGCTCAAAGTTGCAATTGCAACTTTGAGCATATTATACATTAAATATCTTAAAATCAAATAATACCTACCACACATCAGTGACGGCTGATGGATTTTGGGTATACCGATATCTCAATTATTAGATATGGGACCCACACCAAATTTATAATACTTTATAATGACATTAAATAAACAAGTTCTGAGCAAGCAGAATTTAAATTGAAGTTTGCGAAAAAAAGATAACCGAAACATCGAACATGGAACTGACGACACAGTACTGATGAATGTGCTACGAATTTGAGATTATAATTCGGAATTAAGTATTTTACTGATATTTTTTATTAGTGGATGCTACTTATCAACAAATCACATATAGCCTTATATAAATATTAATGAAATATATATACGTAAGAAAATAACTACTCACCACAGTACTGAAATTTTGACTGGAACTATACGTGCATTCACCACAACTTCGCCGCTTGCATTGTTTTCAAGATGACTGTCATGCAAAAGGCGGGCTCTGTAGGTATTTTTTTACCAACACTTGAGTTGAAACGAGGACTTGACGTTTAAACTTCAATATTTCGCAGGAATTTTGAATTTTAACATTGGACATAGAACTGCAGAACCCGTCATGACGGGTAAAAGTGAGTACAAAGATTATCATTTTTTTTTAATTTCTTTTATTCGAATCTATGATAAAATATAAAAAATACATTATTTAATGTTTTATAGTTTGTACTGAAATTGAAAAATTTAAGATAAATTGAATATATTTTAAAATAAAATCACTCAAATATTTGATTCAGGAGTTGTGACACGCCAAGGTACTGATGTTTTGAATATTTATTATGTTTTTCTACAAACGTGCTTTTGAAAAAATACATTAAAATTGGGTGGACAAGTTAAAAAAACTGGATCTTTTGTAATATACTAAAATATTTACAAAAAATATTATTATACCTACTCTATTGACTGATGACATCAAGTTGTCCAACTTTTGTAGAATCACCCATTTAATTGTTCGAATACAATTACAAAAAGCCTGATGATCGATAGAATTTAGATCAGGGATAAATAATCAATAACGATTAAAAATAATTTTAACTTTTAATTATCATGCCATTCCATTTTTAAATTAAACAATCATGCATCAAGTAACTTAAGTAAAGCAAGGTCAAGTTAAAGGCTACAATTAATTAATACTAAATACTTCCTGTAGTGAATAAAATGTATTTTAAATTTTTTTGCAAATCAAAGAAATAAATACAAGTGATTTATTATATTATAATATACGCTAAAGAAGTATCGCTAGTAGCGCCACCACTCGGCCGTTATCATCGTAACAAAAGTATAACTTTTAATAATCAGCTGTCAAACGCTTAGGTTACAAACGAGTGTTTTTGAGAAAGCCGGAAAATGTTAAAAAATATCGAAAAAAAAACCGTGAATCGATTTGTTGTGTAGTTGGTTTTATTTCGAGAGGAAATCCTGAGTTGACTTTTTACCGGTTTTCCAATAAACAGTGTTAATTTGAATGAAGAAATAAATTGCATACAGTCTCTGTAAATATAAATTGTACCTATTAGATACAATAAATACACATTTTAGTAGTGATTAACGTAAAAAGTGTAAACATTTCAATTCAGTAAAAATCGTCAAACAAATAATTCGTCTAAATTTAAATAGGTAGCATTTAGCATTATTATTTAGCGTTGATTAAAAAAGTCTCCACTCAACGGTAAAATACCATTATATTAATATAATGGTATTTTACTAATAATTATGTATTATATATAATATTATGGGTATATTTTGTTGTTTAAAATGCAGTTGTCGGCGTTTTTTAGAGAACTCAAATATAAAAATGATTGATTTTGAGGTTATGTTTGTGCAAAAATTATTTTTTACTAATTTCTTAAAAATATCCAAACCTAAATACAAATTATATTAGGTAAAGTTATCATTAGTTAATTCTGCACCAACAAATGTACTTACCGAATTGGATCCTTTGGCAAAACATGAAAATGCAACGATTTAGTTCTTGAATTTTATTTACAATTAAAAACACAATAATTCACCATGATCCCTTAGATAAAATACACACACTAACGTAACTATATAAGCATTTAAGCGTTGAGTTTCTTAATCAATGATATAAGGAATAACCAATCGAAATCGAGTTCTAAAAGTTTTTTAATTTTTTCCTTGCAACGTAAAACACAAATAACGTGCGCGATTTAGCTGTGCAATTGAACAAAATTTGTCGAGTAAGACTTCTGCCTTCCTCTCTTTTGTAAAAAAACTACCTATTTATTTAAAAATAATGTATAGTCGGTGCTTTAAATTTATTGTTGACAATTCTTAAAGTCACGCAATGCATTCGAAGTCCACCAGATGGCGCGCGCGTTGCGAAAACCCGATACTTCTTTAGAGTAGGTAAGTATACATTTTTTCGAATTCACAAAATTCTAGAATTTTTAACCAAACCCCCAAAATTGGACAGCATTAAAGAATTGGTGCCCAAGGGACACCCTGTATATTATTAGATATTAAAAAATTATGATAAATATTCATAAATAATCCATAAAAATAATATGCAACAATGTACATAAGCTTATCAATCAATCAATCACCATGGTTTAAAGATTTAACTTAAAGTTATATCAATACTTAAATGTATTTTTAAAAATAGTTTGCTGTTTCACTCTGTGTCGCGACATTTTTTAGTTTGCATAATAATAACCGAATTCATGAATTTAATTATTCGGTTTCGTTAAATTAGTTGTCAAAATGAACGCGTTAGACGAGAGTGTATGTCCGAACGAAATCAAAGCATTACTGTTAAAGTGGAAGAAAAAGTAAGTTGTAATCATTATCTCGTTTTGTTGCAATTACATTGTGTTAAAAATTTGGGTCATTTATTAAGATTCAGCATGATTTTGATATAACCTTAAATCATTGAACTTGAACCATGCGTCAAAGATCACGCGATTATTCCTGCAAAACGTAGAAAAATAATTTTCTACAAAATGCAGCTGCAAGTTTGTGTGTTTGGCAATAGATGTCACCGCTTGTACTGTTTAAATTTACACCAAATTTAGATAATTATTCAATTTGTTTCAATATTTTTAATGCATTAAAATAATAATTAATACTTAGTAGTAGTGGCTTAATAATAAAATAACACTAGTTTACAAAATCGAAAAAAAAAATCTGCCCACCATATCCCATTATAATTTTCCCATGTATTTTGACCGACTAAACACGAAAATCACATAGCTTAAAATCTAATTAATCGATTTGGTCAAACAAGCCCTTAAATGGAAGATATTTGAGCCCTCTAAAACTTTTTTTTACATTCTTTTGATATCGGATAAGTATTTTGGCGCTAGCGATTTTAATAACTTAAAAAATTCGTTTTTATGGCAAAAATTGAGGTCGAAAATTTACATATCGTCCTGGAAAGGTTTAAATCAAACAGATAACTCCTGTTTTTTCGTGAAGCTGACATTTTTACAAAAAAACAAGCTAATGTTGATAAAAATACATGGAAAAATGGCGAAGTTATGAATGTTTTAGTGGAAGAACAAAATTCAGTTTTTTGACGATTTTTATTTTATTTTTTTTCTTTTATTTTTTAATATGTTTATTCTTTAATGAAAACCTAACTAAAGTGCAAGATTGGAATTTTTTGAGTTTTTTACGTACTTTTTTCACCGAAAACAAATCAAAATTTAAATTTGACATGTTGGCACAGTCACTATGCCATAGTGACATTTTACTGATATTTTTTGATATTTCAACAAGGTATTTTCATCATGGTTTTATTTAGTTAATAAAAAGTGTAAAATAAGTAAAAGAAGTAGAGAGTTCGAGTGCGTAAATAACCCGCACAATCTGGGCGACGTAAGTGATGAGCACGGGGAACGTTTTCACCAGCAAATGAAGGCTATGGAGCGGCGGTATCACGGCTTCTGGGATGCAGCCATGATGGGTGATTACATTTGGTCCCTCATACGAGAAACGGAATACGAAAGCAACAAAAAACAAAGAAGGAGCCAGAATTTTTTTAAACCTATGCTTATTATAACAAAATAAAACTTTCAATTTCTGTAATGTTCAATATTTATTGTTTAATATTCAATATAAAGTTTAATTTTAATATTTAATGTTTTGAAATAAAAATCAATATTCAATATCAAGTTTTATATAATTCAATAAAATGAAGAAAAAACGTAAAAATTCTCGAAAAACTGAATTTTGGTCTTCCACTGAAAAATTCATAACTTCGCCATTTATCCATGGATTTTATAAACAGCAGCTTATTTTTTTTCCTTCAAGTATAATCTATAAGTAAAATAAATCAAACTGGACTTATCTTTTAGATTTCTATCTTTCCCAGAAAGATATGTAAATTTTCGACCTTGATTTTTGTAAAAAAAAGGACTTTTTCAACTTCATAAAATCGCCAGTATCGAACTACTGAGCCGATACCAAAACTATACAAGAGAAAGTTGTAGAGGGCTCAATTACCTTTAATTCAATTAGAACTCGAAGTATACTCTAAAACGTCAAAACACCTCAGAAAATAAAAAAAAAACAATTGAAAATTCAAATCTCGAAAACGCTTCCATGAAAAAAATTTTAATTGTAAATTTCGCGTTTAGTGAGCCAAACTACTCAAGAAAATCAAAGTAAGACACCATTGCCAAAGTGGTGATAACTTTAAATTAGTTAAGTATGCTAAACAGCTACTTTAATTTTTACTTAAAAGTAATTCTAACTTTTAAATAGCAATATTTTGTAACAGAAACTTAATTTTTCCTTAAATGGTTACTATAAAGTAATAAACATTTAAGTAAAACTTGGTTGCCCCCAAGAAGACTTTGCAACTTTAAAAAAGGTGTTATAAGTAAAAAAAAACTTTCAAGTAAATTTAATTTGTAGCACTTACTTTCGGTTGCTACCTAAAGATTACATTATAATTATTTTTACTTTGTAGTCCCTTTACAAGTTAAAATCTCGAAACTGGAACATGAGTTAAAAACTACAAAGTTAATAACTTAAAAGTTATTATTTTAGTATTTGGAACGTTTATGGTACTAACCAAAACAACCGTAAAGTGGAAAAAAACTTTAAAGTAGCGAAAACTACTTTTTACTGTACAGTACCACGTGGTAATGTAAATAATAAATTATTTTAATTGTTTGTAAATGGTTGTCGGTAATAGACGGTATTAATAATTAAATAAAAAAAATAATAATAAATATTAGGATTTTTGTATTTATAAACATTATTAAATAAATAATTTGTATGTACTTAAATATTGATGAAGCGCATTTATTTTACAAAAACTAAATTCATAAGTTTAACAGTAAAATTTAAAACCTGCCTAATTAAATATTATATTGTTATTCTGGAAGTTATAAACTACCAGTACATATTTAATAAACGACGACATTGAAAAGCCAAGTCCGTAGTGGTTCCATTTAAAAAAGGAGGGATAGTATAATCTAATATAAGTTTGACAAAGACAGTTAATATAGAACTAAAAACAAATAAATAAAGTAATTATAACGCTATAGCAACGATATTGGAACGTTCTAGTAACGTAGCAGCTACGTTCCAAATAGTACCAGGGTTTATAGCTAGTGACATATTTTTTACCTTTTTGGAACTCAATAATAATTATTGTTCCCCACTTAAGTCGTAACTTAGTAATAAAAGAGTAATATAAAGAGACCGGCGACTATCGTAAAACACTTTAATAGTCCCATATACGTAACAAATACTTAAATTGTTGCTTGGGAGAGTATTTAATTAAGGTCTTCAGCAGAATACCTACTAAAAATACTGTAACAAAAAATGTAATTGTTTTTATACCCTCACCACAGTCTCATAATATAGTCGCAGAATTACACACCCAAAGATTAAAAAACAAGATTGCAAAAAAAAACAATTTTGTTATGATATTTTCACCTTTTCACCTCACTTTTGTCAAGTAAAGAAGATCCCGGATTAAAATAAATTTCTTTTGTACTTATGTCTTTACTACAGACAAACACGTTAAAATTAGGCACAACTTCTAAATAAATATGTCTGAAGTCGAAATGTATCTGCAGTAAATTCACGATGTTTGCAGTATCAACACTCGAAAATAAAATTTTCAAAAATGTGCAAGTGCAGAGAGCAATCCTGCAAAGGTTAACAATTAAACAACAAAATGTCAAAAACTAACGAAATTATTTTTTTCAGGATGGGGAGCTTCAGTTCGGCCCCCAAAATCCTCAACGACGACATTCAGGACAACGATTTGGTTCTGCCGAAAAATATCAGCAGGAACGAACTCCTGCAGCACTGTCAAAAACAGATCCGTGTGGGTCACCCCATTTTCAAGAGGCACTTTAAAAAAGTTGACGGTCACAACGGCCAAGACTACGGGTTTAAATTTAGGAAGTTAAATGCGGTTACAAAAGGTAGTTATTATAAAAAAAATGTAGTATTAATATTTTATGTGGTTAATTTTTTCAGGATGCAGCGATTACATCACCAATCCGAACAGTTTGAGGGTGTTTCAGTGGAACATTTTATCACAAGGTAAATATACTTTATCAATTTTTTTACCCCACTAAAAACGTAGAACTGCCAATTTAATACGAGTATTGTATGCAACCCATAATACATTTTAAGATGTGTCTACTGCTCCTCAGCAGAAACTAAATAATATTTAAAAAAAAACACCGTCGCGGAGGTAAATTGGACCTTTTCATAAAATGTTGTTTAATAAAAATAATAAGTTTTTCAGCTAAAACATTGAAGTTAGACGAAAAAGTCAAATGGCAATTTTTTAGCTTGTCTGATGGACCACAAAAAAGTTTTAGGCGAATTTTTTGTATCGTCAATATTCTAAAAGTTACAGGAGTATAATGTCATCATTTTTGTATTATTAACTTTTTGTTAGTGAAATATTATCAGATAAGCTAAAAAATTGCCATTTGACTTTTTCGTGTAACTTCAATAGTTTAGCTGAAAAAGGCAAAAACATAAAATTTTAAATTTAAAGCTCTGTAAAAAATCAAATAATGAAAATAGAAATTCGGCTTAATAAGATTTTTTCGTCCAAATTTAATGCTTTGTAAGATTCAGTCATGGATTTTGTGAAAAAAAATTCTTCCTAAGTTGCAAGAATAAATAAGGTAAAAAAGTCAGTTTTCTGTGCTATTTAAGCGGCAAAACTTCAGAATCGATGAAATTGAAATTATGAGCTCCGCTTTTAACAGGATAATTGTTCGGACATATTCTACGATATTTTGGGTGGAGAGCAAGAAAACAAAAATATCGAGTTTTTTTGGAACACCGTAATATATAATAACCGTCGCAACAAACAGTATACGTAGACACTTCCAACATTCAAATGACATTTGATTTAATCATCAAAATTAATTACTGTAGTATTATAATAGTATATTAAAGAACTAATGTCATAAGACGTCATTTTGTCGCACGCGGACAATTTATAAAACGAGCGACGAAGGAGCGAGTTTTATAATGGACAAGTGCGACAAAAGGTCTTATGACATGAGCTCTTTATGCTATTTTATCTATTTTGCAAACATTTCATAAAACAAATTAATTTTATACTTTATATTTAATTTGGTCGAATTTTACTTTACATAGTTGGTATCTCAGTTTGAAGTTTGAAAGGTCATTAACCTTTCAAACATTATCACATTCTTTCGCTATGGCGTCGTTAATTTACAATAAGTATTTACAATAAGAGGCTGTTAAAGAAGAAAAAAGGATTTTCTTTGGTGTTAAACAAAATTTATTGCACGAAAAGTCTCGGAAGTACTAGAAAACAAATCATAAAAATATTATATCCTATAGGTATTCAACATTTTATTTTACTAGTAGCCAACCTATAAAATCAAAATTTTGGGTGGAATAAAGTACCTCATTAAAGAACCAAAAGCGGTGTTATAATGAAGCCATTATGAACGCGAAATAGATAAAATGTGATTTCGGATAAAATTTAATATGCACCTCCGCATTAAAGTCATTTTTTATCACTCACGTGGTTACTTGCCTCGGCTTTCGCCTCGGCAAATAATTTCCACATTCGTGATAAAAAATACGACTGATACATAAGTAACTATTTCACAATAAAAAAATTAACAAACCGGTTTGAAATCAAAAAATGTTTATTTTTATAAAAAATGTTCTTTAAAAATTAATTTTTTAGCACTGGGTCAAATGAATGATCACTTTGAAAAATGCCCCGACGAAGCTTTAGAATGGAACCATCGCAAATTTTACATAATAGAAGAAATTGTAGAATATTGTCCTGATGTGATATGTTTACAGGTAAATAAATTCTACTTCCTTTAGCTGCAATTGTACTGTCCCCAGATTGAGTTACAAAGATGAAAAACAAATCAAAAATTTTCACAGAAACAATACTTTTTTGAACTCCAAAACTTTTTTAATATCTAACCGTTCTTTAGAAAATTTTTTGTAACTCTCAGAAAAGTCCAAAGTTTGAAGAAAATGTAAGTTTTGTAGCTCAATAACAAACTGTACATTTGACAAAATTTGCAGTAAAAAAATATATATTTTCTTGTAGAGAGATAAATTAGTTTTCAAAGGAACCTGATTTGAAACTAAACCACTTAAATTATTTCAGGAAGTTGACCATTTCAACTTCATCAAGAACATACTTAAAACACAGGGCTACACAGGTCTGTTCTTCCCCAAACCAGATTCACCTTGCATGTATATCCATGGAAATAATGGACCGGATGGATGCGCCATCTTTTATCGTACCGACAAATTCGAATTGATAAACTCCGAATCGAGAATTTTGGAAATTTGGAGAGTACAAAGCAACCAGGTAGGACAAACCACATAGTTATTGGACACTTATTTATTTAAAATTTATATATGCTGTTGTTTTAAAGATTTTAGTTTTTTTCTTATAAATATATAAAAAGGATAGTTTGTTTGTTTAAACTTTATTTACGTTTACTTAAAAATAAGAATATTTGAATTTTTCATAATAGTTTTATAAAAACATGCAAAAAATTATAGTAATTGGACAGTTTATATAGTAATTGGACACATGGACCATAGTTATTGGACATACAATTTTTATATAAACATAACTTCACATCAAATAACATAAATTGTTAAATATTTTTTAAAGATAAATTGCTGTTTTGGGTAATTTTTTTATTTCGTTCTTCATATACCTAATTCATATATTTTTTATTTCGTTTTTCATATAATTCATATATTTTTTCATATAATTCATATATTTCTTTCTCGGATTCCTCATCCCAAAATATTAATCTGCATATAGGAAAAAACATTCTCACCAAGTTTGAGCTCTTAATATTAATTTTAAGCAATTACTATTTAAATTTAAAGTTTTACCGTTTAAAATGCATGTAAAAAATATATTTTTTTTTTCAAATTTCTAATGCTTACCCACCTTTGACAATATTGCAAATCGGTTTAATACACCTTATGGGGAATTTCACGCTCTTTAAAATTGCCTTTGAGTTTTTTTTTGTAACTCGCATTGGTTCACCAGTAGGAGTCGTCAAAGGACAGTTTTTGAAAAAAATCGTTTTTTTTTATTTTTTCGAGCAAATCGCCAAAAGTAGTGAGAAAAAAGGGCTGATTCATAAAAAAAAAAGTTAATGAATTTACTGCCATTTTTATAACTGAAAACGTAAGAAATTGATAAATACCAACCCATAATGTTATGTAGATTGATTTTTTATATTTATTATGATTATATTTCCCTACACTAAGAACTTTTTTAAAATTATTATGATTTCTCACTCATAATGAATATGAAAACAACACATAAATTCATAAAAAAACAACAAAACTTTAATCGGAATATACAGAAGGTTATGTAACATATTTCAAATTTCGCTTCAAAAAATTAAATAATCTTCATTTATATTTTTTTGCTATATGACAGAAATGTTGAAAAATTGCAAAATCCACGTTACAATTTTCTTATTGTTTTTTTATGAATTTATCTGTTGTTTTCATATTCATTATAAGTGAGAAATCAATAATTTTAAAAAACTTCTTAGTGTAGGGAAATATAATGATAATAAATAGAAAAAATCAATCTAAATAACATTATGAGTTGGTAATTATCAATTTCTTACGTTTTCAGTTATAAAAATGGCTCTAAATTCATTAAATATTGGTTGGATAACTTTTTTTATGATTCAGCCCTTTTTTCTCCCTACTTTTTGCGGTTTGTTAGAAAAAATTAAAAAAAAAACGATTTTTTTCAAAAACTGTCCTTTGACGACTCCTACTGGTGAACCAATGCGAGTTACAAAAAAAAACTCAAAAGCAATTTTAAAGAGCGTGAAATTCCCCATAAGGTGTATCGAACCGATTTGCAATATTGTCAAAGGTGGGTAAGCATTAGAAATTTGAAAAAAAAATATATATTTTTTACATGCATTTTTTAAAAACGGTAAAACTTTAAATTTAAATAGTAAGTACTTAAAATTTATATTAAGAGCTCAAACTTGTTGAGAATTTTTTTTTCTATATGCAGATTAATATTTTGCTTGAGCACCGAAGAAAACAAAAACTTTGCGGAAATGAATCACCCTAAGGATCATCTGGGATTTTGATAAATACATGTTAGTGTTACCAAAAGGGTCTATAATCAAAATATGCTATCAGATTTGGTTGGCATTTTTGTTCGTCCTATACTTAAGTTTTGAACACCGTGTACAGTATTAATGCTAATTGTACAATAACTATAAAGTGTCCGATAACTGTCTACTTTACCTTAATGTTAATAAAAAAAAATATTGTTTTAGGTGGCCCTTCTAGTAAACTTGAAGATCAAAGAAACGGGCCAGGAGGTGTGCATAACAACGACGCATTTAAAAGCCAGAAAAGGCGCCCTCCTCTCCACCCTTCGCAATGAACAAGGCAAGGATCTGCTGAATTTCGTTGCGGAGAACTCCGGGCACAGGCCGGTAGTTCTTTGCGGGGATTTCAACGCAGAACCAGTGGAGCCGGTCTACTCAACGATAATAAACTCCCAGAATTTGGAAATTTCGAGTGCCTACGCAGACTGCAATAACTCGAATATCGGCTCGGCTGAAAGAGAACCGCCATACACCACGTGGAAGATCAGGGACGAGGGCGAGATTTGCCACACGATCGACTATATTTTTTACACGAAAAATAATTTGGAGGTCGAATCGGTTTTGGAGTTTCCCACCGGCGAGGAAATCGGGGAAAACAGGATACCCTCGTTCTCGTACCCCTCGGATCATTTTTCGTTGGTGGCTGACCTTAAAATAGGTGTCAACCAAACGGTGACTAAACTGTAAAGTTTGAAAAAATTTATACCTAATTGTGATTCATTGTATAGATAGTTTTAGATTAGGCTTAAGTATGTTTTTAACATAGTTTTAAATTATTTTTCATATGGAGTGATTTATTGTATTACAGACATCAAAATAAAGTTATTTGATATTATATGACAACTTTCTAAAATGAAAAACCAGGACACAACATGCCCCTCCTCGCCCTAAGATGTACTAATAACTAGAGATGGGAAAATTCCCATTTGACGAAAATTCCCGGAAACTTTCCATCGAAAATTCCCGAAATTTTCCGAAAGTTTAAAAAAAAAATTTTTTATTGCGAAAATATTTTTTTTTATGCCAGAGATTTGCAAAAATATTTAACACATTAACTTTTTGTCAAATTTTTGGTTGCATTAACGGTCTTTTTTGTTTTTTTGCACTATTTTGTAATAATTCCAAACACTAGATTTTTCTCTTGGCATTGTGCTATGCCTATAAATAAACAACAAAAATAAAAGAATGATTTTAAATTTGTTTATTTTTTTAAAAAAGTTTTTTGTGTTGATGCTGAATAATCCGGCTTCATTGAGGTTATGTAACATAACTTACATTATTTATACTTCTTCTTCTGCTTTAAATTAACACAAATTAAATTCTTATTCAAAGTTTCTTGGCCTTGTATCATGGCCTTAACGAAAATCAGCGGTTAAACAATTGACATTTAAATGAAAAAAACAAGGAAAGTTTCCAAGAAATGTTTCCGGTAGCTTAAAAGAAACTTTCAAAATGAAAATAAATTCCCAATTGGAAACTTTCCAAAACGGAAAGTTTCCTTAAAATGGAAACTTTCCGATTCCCATCTCTACTAATAACGTCAATAATAAAAAAATATCCTGAAGGTACTCCAAATCTGAGCCCAGACCACTGTTAATAAAAAAAATAGAACAAATCCTAATAATTGGGAAAAACTCATAGTTTAAAGAAAATAAAATCAAACGAGTTTTTTTCTTACTTTATTACTCCCAAAAATGTAGATTTTTTAATTAATTTTTAACCTGAACCCCAAACACTTTTAATAAAAAAAATAGATAAAAATCCTAAAAAAGTAGGAAAAACTCATAACTTAAAAAAAATCCAAACGAGGTTTTTTCTTACTTTATTACTCCCAAAAATTCAGATTTTTAAATTAATTTTTACCCTGAGTCCTAACCACATTTAATAAAAAAATTTAAACGAGGTTTTTCTTACTTTTTTACTATTCTTAAGGTACTTCTAAAAATTCAGATTTTTAAATTAATTTTTAACCAGAGCACTGCCCACTTTTATTTAAAAAATTAGAACAAATCCTAAAAAAGTGGGAAAAACTCATACCTAATTTAAATTATATATATACATATATGGGAGATTCTACAAAAGTTGGACAACTTGATGTCATCAGTCAATAGAGTAGGTATTTTAATGTTTTTTGTAAATATTTTAATATATTACAAAAGATCCAGGTTTTTTTAACTTATCCGCCCAATTTTAATGTATTTTTTCAAAAGCACGTTTGTAGAAAAACATAATAAATATTCAAAACATCAGTACCTTGGCGTGTCACAACTCCTGAATCAAATATTTGAGTGATTTTATTTTAAAATATACCTATTCAACTTATCTTAAATTTTTCAATTTCACTACAAACTATAAAACATTAAATAATATATTTTTCATATTTTATCATAAATTCGAATAATAACAATTTTTAAAAAAATTATAATCTTTGTACTCACTTTTACCCGTCAGTTCTGTGTCCAATGTTAAAATTCAAAATTTCTGCGAAATATTGAAGTTTAAACGTCAAGTCCTCGTTTTAATTTAAGTGTTGGTAAAAAATTACCTACAGAGCCCACCCTTTGCACAACAGTCATCTTGAAAACAATGCAAGCGGCAAAGTTGTGGTGAATGCACGTTTAGTTCCAGTCAAAATTTCAGTACTGTGGTGAGTAGTTATTTTTTTACGTATATATATATAAATTTCATTGTAATTTATATATGGCTATATGTGATTTGTTGATAAGTAGCATCTACTAATAAAAAATATCAGTAAAATACTTAATTCCGAATTATAATCTCAAATTTGTATCCCATTCATCAGTACCGTGTCGTCAGTTCCATGTCCGATGTTTCGGTTATGTTTTTTTCGCAAACTTTAATTTAAATTCTGCTTGCGCAGAACTTGTTTGTAATGTCATTATAAACTCATATAGATTTGGTGTGGGTCCCATATCTAATAATTAAGATATCGGTATACCCAAAATCCACCAGCCGCCACTGATGTGTGGTATTATTTGATTTTAAGATATTTAATGTATAATATGCCCCAAGTTGCAATAAATCTTATATTTTCCAATAAATTATGTATTTAATTAGTACACTGGTATAATCTTGCATTCAAATTTAGAAAACACAGATATTTCAGAAACTGTTTGAAAAAGTAACTGGCCCGGTCTGGAACAGTATATACTGTTCCAGACCGGGCCAGTTACTTTTTCAAACAGTTTCTGAAATATCTTTATTATATTATCTATGTTCTCATAACAAAATACTGTTTAATTTTCTAAGAAAACTATATAAACAATATGAGGTCAAAAGTTGCCCAACTTTTGTAGAATCACCCATATATATTATTAAAATTCAGATTTGTAAATTACTTTTTAGCCTAAAAATAGCCTAAAAAAATAATAGATCAAATTCTAAAAAAGTGAAAAAAACGGCCATTTCAAGCGCGCGAAACGCACGAATTTCAAAACTGTTTTTTAAAAAAAAATTGTAGATTATTTATTTTATAATATTTTGGCTTCAAATTTGTCAAAAATATTCTTCTTTTATTAGGTTACCCTGCTTAAAATACCACATAGAGACCCTGTTCAAACCGATAGATATTTTTATCGGGATGTATAGGGTGTATCGGTTTGTATAGGACCCATAGTTGAGATTTATGATTTTTCTATAGGGATATCCACCCTTGATTTATTTGCTATCGGTTTCAATGGGGAAAATACACATAAATGTAGAAATTACTTTTTCCCCTATAGGACCCCATAGGTTTTAATTAAATTATCTCAAATGTTTTATGGTTGCTCTATAGGGATATCCCTATATATCCTTCATTGAGTTATTTGCTATCGGTCTCAATAGGGAAAATGTAAAAGTTATGGTGTGCCTATAGGTAGGTAATTTCCTATACATTTCTATCAGGCCGTATCCGGAAAAAACCATGGACAAATGCACATATTGAATCCGGTAGCGCCCGATAGAATATTTTGTATAGGTCTCTATGGGGTATTTTAAGCAGGGTATACGATAAAAAAAACTCAAAAAATATTTTATAAAAGTAGAGATAATTTTATTAATTAAAGGGTGTGGAAGGGACAAAAAAAGATTTATCTTGTCCCGTCCACACCTGTCAATTATTGAAATTATTTACTTTTATAAAATATTTCTTGCGATTTTTTTTTATTTAATGTTTAGCCTAATAAAATAAGAATATATTTGTCAATTCTGATGCAATAATAATATATAATAAATTACCTACAATTTTTTTTTATAAAAACAGTTTTGTTATTTGTCCCGTCCGGACGGGTCCGCCCGCTTGAAATGGCCGAAAAGTCATAATTATTTATCAAACAAGGTTATTTATTACTTTTTAACACTTCTAAATGTACCGACCACATTTAATAAAAAAAATTAAACCAAATCCTAAAAAAGTGGGAAAAACTCATAATTTTTAATATTTTTTTTCCTACGAGGTTTTATATAACTTTTTTACACGACTTCCAAAGTTTTAGATTTTAAAATTAAAAAACTCGTAATTTAAAAATAAAAATTTCAAACGAAGTTTTTTCTTACTTTTTTACTTTCCTGAACGTACTCCAAAATAATCAATTTGTAAATTAATTTTAGCATGAGAAATTTTTTTTTTCAAACAAGGTTTTTTATTATTTCTTTTCTCTTCTAAATGTTTTTTATTATTTTTTTGTATACTTTCAAAGTTTTAGATTTTTAAATTAATTTTTAACCTGAGCCATGACCATTCAAAAAAAAAATTGCTAATAACGTCAATAATAAAAAAAATTAGTATAAACCAGGACGGTTGGTCACCTTATACATTGTGACCCATTAGTTTGCGACTCACCCCTGTAAAATCTTTATTTATTGTGCGATTTTAATCGGATTTGTTTTAAAGTGTAGATCTTGATAAACTATTTTTGGAACAAAAACGCCATATTAGTACAAAATACAAGGCCTACTCGGCCATTCCAAGCCCATGGACAGGACACATCAGAAACATGTCTAAATATATTCTTGTTACTTCCTTAAGTTTACTTATTTTTTCTACGAGTATTTATGAGAAGTATTAGCCAAATTTGGCTAATACTTCTCATAAATACTCGTAGAAAAAATAAGTAAACTTAAGGAAGTAACAAGAATATATTTAGACATGTTTCTGATGTGTCCTGTCCATGGGCTTGGAATGGCCGTACTATGTCAGTTTTTAAGAGTATATTTTTAAGAGTTTATATTAGCGCTTTTTTAAACAAAATCTAATCACGGCACTGGATTCACCACCCCTCAAAACGACCCTTTACCTACTAAATTTTCAGTAGTAAAATGCACAATAATAACAACAAAAATTTATTTTGTCAAGTTATCCACACATATTTTACTATTACTATAAGTTTAATTTTATTTCAATGTTTTTTTCATGGATAACTTGCCAGAATAAATTTTTTTTCTTAAAATTTTTCAATAAAATTTAGTATAGGGTCGTTTTTGTTTAAAAAATATGAATTCTTAAAAATTTACTCCTAAAAACTGACATAGTACCCCTTGTATTTTGTACAAATATGACGTTTTTTTTTTTGTAAAATATTGAAAACAAGTTAAGAAAACAGCAGTTTTATTATTGCAAACAAATAAGTAACATTCTAAACATAACTTAAACCTGTTCTTAACATTCTAAACATAACTTTTTTTTTAAGAAAACATAATTTTCAAACTTTATTAAAAATAGTTAATTGTAATAATTTTATTACCTCTTTTTGTAGTTATTCTCCCTCTTCCCCTTCCACCAATTTTTCCTCTTCCTCTTTTGGACCCCCTTCCCCTTCCAGCTGCCCATTCTTCTTTCTTACCCGCCCATTTTGCTTTTTCAGCTACATATCGTTCCCTTGCAAACTCCCATCTGCCCCGTTCAGCTTCCCATCTCCCCCTTGAAGCTGCCCATCTTCCCCTATCTGCTTCCAGACTTCTTCTTTCAGATCCATGCAATCTCCTTGAATGCAATCTATTTTCAGCTGCCTCTATTGCTCTTACAGCCGAATTTATTCCCCTTTCGGCTGCCTGAACTGCCCTATCACACGACTCCATTTCTCTTTCGGCTGCCTCTATTCTGCCATCAAAAAACATTTCCTGTGATGTTTTTGGTTTAGGTGCAGCTGGTGCTTTGTTTCCTGATGCTACTACTCGATCTTTTACTCTTACTTCTCCTACTAAACTAGATTTGGTAGCAGCTGCACTATTGTTTACAACTGTTGCAGGTTTCTTATTTTTATTTGAAGAGTTTACTTTTGTTTCAGCTGTCTTTGTTATTGCAGGCAAAATAGCTGTATTACTTGCAGCTTTTATTTGTGTTATTTCTTTTTCAGCTGTCTTTGTCATTGTTGATGTTGTCATTGCACTTTCTTTTATTTTACTTACAGCTGATTTTCCAGTTGCAGTTGTATTAGTTGATTGATAATAATATGAAATTAATTCTTTAGCCTTTTTAATTGTGGATAATTCGATTTCACTTAATGCAGGTTTAGCATTATTTTTAAGTGCTTTTTCCATGTCTATAATAAACAGGAAATTTTAATATAATTGGTAGGTAGGTTTTAATGTTCTAATTGTAATTTAAAATTTGTAGTAGGCACTTACCTATTCTTTATGTTGATAATAGGTATTATGCAGAGATAAAGAAGTCTATGTAACTTTAATCTACTAGAATAAACACAGAACAAAATACATATACATATGTATGTATACAAGTAAACTATCGTTCAAAATTTTTGAATCAAAAATGAACTTTTTTAAGTAACGTAAACAAAGTTTAAATCTTGTTTCATCAATCACGTGGTTTAGTAAAATAGTCGATAGAACACCTTCATTTTTATACGGTTTCACGCATAGTCTCTGCCGCTTTTTAATAGATGGCGCATCGCAACCAGATGCTGCCAACCACTACGTTTATCCAGTATTTTTCGGGTTTGTTCCAAGAGTAAAAATCTTACGATACAATTTTTTTGTATTTTAAAATATATTTTAATACAAATTGTGTGAACATTAATTTGCTCGTTCGAACGCCGAAACATATATTTTTTTCGCAGAATTAGACACCAAAAGATTGAAAATAAGATGCCGAAGACAAACAATTTTGCTGAAATTTGCACTTTTTCACTCCATCAAAAAAGTAAATATTTGTCTAATAAAACTGTTAATATAAAAAAATTGTAAAATGTGCAAATGCAGAAAGCAATTCGACTAAAAATAGGTATATTTTGTCAAAAACATTTTTCATATTTGTAATAGAGGCGCTGAAATAAAAAAAATAATTTTGTTTGATTTTTCTTCTGTATACGATTCTCCAATAATTTTTATATAAAAATATCACTTTTTTATTAAATTAAATCTGATTTTTTTTAATTACCCACGATTTTTTAACTAATATTTAAGTTTCTTTTGGTTTAAGTTTTACACATTATTTCATTCGGTGATAATTATCAATTGCGCACCATGGTCACTTTTTACCTGCCAGCATTAAATCCTTTAATTTAAAGGATTATTGTAATATTTTTATTTAAGTTTCAATTTAAATGACACCCTGTATAAAAAAAATAACAAAATTATTTTTTTCTGGATGGGTTACTGAATAAAAATAAAATGAATAATTATTAATTAATCAGCGTCGGAAATTTTTATAAAAATTTTTACATTTTATTCATACCTACCTATTACCCTTCGAATAAAATGGGCAAGTCAATTTTTCTAAAAATTTCCAAATTTTTCCGTTTTTTTCGCCGGCTTAATTTTTCCAAAAATTTTAAAACCATATCACTGATCTAAACACTATAGTGTTTTTAATTATAATTAAAAAACAACCTTTAATGTAGTAATTTTATTGCAAATTTTTAAAAACATAAATAATCAAGAAACAAACTTATTTCACGAAAATACACACAAAAAAGCAAACCATCTCATACAACTCAAACCATTTTTCATTGGTGACAACAATGACTAAACTGTGAAAGAAAAAAACGTTCAGAATTCCTAAAATCGGAAGTAATAAAAAAATGACAATGACTAGTTTTTATCAAAATTTGGAAAAAAATTACTTGCCTCATTGTTAGTTATTTTGAATACAAAATTTTCTTTTTGTGACTAACTTTATTGAAGGTACAATAAGTAAAAACAATAATTAAACATTTTTCCTATATTTTGATTAAACTTTTTACTCATTTTTTCAACTGATTCCACAAATTCTGATAATTTGTGATAGTTAATAAATATAAATTATTTTATTAATATTAAAAAAAATTATATATAACTTTATCTATATTCTTTACCCCGTTGTTATTGTATACTCCTTTAGTGACTCCCTTTCTTACAACTGAAGAATTTGTATTAATTATGCTTCCAGCTTCAATGCCTTCTTCATTTGTCCCAATTTTTCTTTTAGCTTCTCTTATTTTCCATTCAACTGCATTAATTTTTTTTCTAGCTGCTTCCATTTTTCTCACCCCTGTTCTTATTTTATTTCCAGCTACATTCATTTTTCTTCCAAGTGCATGCATTTCTTCAGCAACTGATTGCTGTTTCCACCCTCCATGTACCATATGTTCAAGCTTTTTTTGTGCTTTGTTCATTCTTTTTCCCAGCGCGCTCATTTCTGCAGAAGCTTTATTTTGATTAGCTTCATATTTTTCCATTTCAGCCATATATAACTCTCTTTCAGCTGACAATGTTTCAATTACAGCTCCCTTTCTGTCTCTTTCAGCCGCCCTTTCTTCTTTTTCAGCCGTCCATTTATCTACTTCAGCTGCATATCTTACCCTTTGCAAAGCCCATCTTTCCCTCTCAGCTTCCCAAAGTCCTCTTGAAGCTACCCATATATCTACATCACTCTGAAATCTTCTCTTAGATTCATGCAATCTTTTTCTTCTAGCCCTATATAATTCACTTTCAGATTTCTCTATTTCTCTAACAGCTGCGTCTATTCCCCTTTTAGCTGCCTTTACTGCTCTTTCACATGACTCTATTCCTCTTTCAGCTGACTCTATTCTTCTATCAAAAAACATTTCCTGTGATGTTTTTGTTTCAGCTGCAGCATTGCTTCTTGATATACTGGCAGTTGCTTCATTTTGTTCAGGTTTCTTAAGTAATTACTTGTTGCTGAAACTGTTCTCTTTATATGTCCCTTGATTTTTAGTATTTTTTGTTTTTGCAGTTGCTTCCGGTTTTGATGCAGGCAAAATAGCTATATCACTTATTATTTGGTTTTCAGTTGTTTTTGATGTTGATACTAATTTTATTGTTGATGTTATTGTACCAGTTGCAGCTACATTTAATGTTTGAGGATCTGACATTATTTCTGTGGCTTGTTCAGTTGTCAATAGTTCGTTTTGACTTGTTGCTACCGGTTCAGCAGTTTCAAGGGCTTTTTCCATGTCTATACTTATGCAAACAAACAATTTTTATATCATTAAAAGTAAAGTAAATGAATTGTCTTGTAGTACAAGACTTGTACCTTTTGTTTTTAAACACTTTGTTATCTATAATACAGATTCTGTAGATGTATCTAGCTTTAACTTTAATATAAAGAAACAAGTTGTTTCAAACAACTCTATTAAAACAAGTTTGAGAAACCACTTGATTGCAGGAAAACGTTAGACTTAAAGATAACTCTACTCACTACCAGAGGGCGCTTTGAAAAAAACTGTCAACAACTTAACCTAAAAAAAACTTCAAAATACAAAATGAGCTCAAAGGATTCGCAATTTGTTAAAAAACCTTACACTGGAATCGTTACACCGCACAGATTGACTGTGGCGATTTTAATTAACATATTTTGTTCGTACAGAGACTCAGGTAAGATAATTATCCATTATTCTAGAGATTTTTAACGACTTATTTTAGAATCTTTTAAGTCGTTAAAGAATAGTATAGCGCAATGTTCGTTTCGAAGGAATTTCGCGTGTTTGTGCTTGCAATTAATGCAAAGACCTGATTTGACTCTCAAGGATTTAAGAGATTTATTGCAATCAGATAAATATCGTGTTCCCATTGAAGTATTAGATGCGTTCGATGAGACTTTGGAGGCTATGTATCACAATGGCTCCGGCTACATGCTGGACAACGTGGACAGTTTTAGTAGGTGCATACAGGTGCAAAGCGACACAGATTCTAAACTCTGCCCCAGAACATTCGTAGCAAAAAACAGTGTTGTTGGGTATTATGTGAGACGACTGATTGTTTATTTCGATAATTTAACGTTTTCTGAAATAACCGGAGTGTATTTGGCGTTTCAAAGATACTATGAAAGGTGGAAAAATTTATCCAAGGAAAATGTTAGTAGGAAGGATTTAATTACGGATCGAAATAGGTTTCAAGAGCAATGGTCTAGGAGACAGGCTGAGTTGTTTATTGCCACACAGGCTGAATTGTTGTCTAATAATGTGGAAAAAGCCATGAATCCTGTGGATATGCAGAAAACAATTGCTAGTTTGTTGAAATCCAATCCTCGTCTATCAGAAGCTGTAAGTAAATGTATTATAGTTTTAGAGACAATAATTTTTGATATACTATATGCTATTTACTAGACTGGGCCAAAAAAATCGACTATTTTTTTTTGTAAAGTAGGTATGTATATCGAAAATATTGTTTGGGGTGACAAAACAAAATTATGGTGAAAGTTTGACTCCATAATATTAATATTAAGAGGTCTATCATCGCAATTTTAGATTTTTTTTTCCTGACTTAAGAATATTTTTTGAAGAAAATTGAATGTTCTACAAAAAAGGTTTGATTGGAATTTCCCGTTTTCTTACAATCATGCCTTAAAAATTGGTATAGTTTTACAATTTGATCTTTTAACTTTGGAATTTGTAATTCATGTAAAAATCAGTACCCGGAAAAAAAACCGATAGATATTCTTATGGGAAATCAAATGCTCTACAAAAAAAGTCTTTTATCATTTTTGGCTAAATTCACTCCATCAAAAGTTATTCAAGGTTAAATTTGAAGTCAAAACGAAATTTTAACCTTGAATAACTTTTGATTGAGTGAATTTAGCCAAAAATGTTAAGAGGCTTTTTTTGTAAAGCATTTGATTTGCCATAAGAATATTCATCGGTTTTTTTCTGGGTACGGATTTTTACATTAATTAAAAAATTCTAAAGTTAAAAGATCAAAATGTAAAACTATACCAATTTTTAAGGCATGATTTTAAGGAAACGGTTTATCTGAAGGAAAATTTCATTTTAACCTTTTTTGTAGAGGATTTAATTTTCTTAAAAAAATATTTCCGAGTCAATTTAGTTAAACTCATTAGTTTGAGAGTTCTGAGACAAAAACTTGCTGAGGAAAAAAAATTTAAAATTTGGATGATAGACCTCTTAATATTAATATTATGGACTCAAACTTTCACAATAATTCTTTTTCACTCCAAACCATAGTTTTAATATACTTAAAAAAAATAGTAGTACTATATAGTGGTAAATATTGATTTTTTTAGCATTTTCTGTCATATTTAAACTATGCTAGGATAAAAGATTTTTGTGGGGCCATCAATAGTCTTTATCATTGTTTTGATAAAGGGTTAGTTTTGGATAAAGGTTCCAGTGAGGAAAGAAGCAAAGGGCAGAGATATGCTGCGTTAAATTTAGCCATTTTGCACCATCATTTTAACCATAAGTAATATAACAAATATTTGTTACTTACCTACCAATAAAATTATTGTTTATTTTTGTAGTGATGAAGCTTTAGCATCTCTAAACGAATCAATCAAACTTTCCCATGAAGCCAATGATAATGTTTGTCTACAAGAAGCACTTTCCTGGTTATACCGAATCAGTAAATCTAATAAAGATAAATTAATTTCCCATTGTACTCTTAAGAGTTTTGAATTGAATTTAACTTACACGAAATCATTGGGATTGCAATGTTTTGGTAAATTTAGCGTGGAAAATTCTGGAAATCCGCAACCTATATTTGAGGTAAGTAATGAATCCTAACAAATCGTTCTCAATTTTTTTGAAATATGAATTTTCAATTGGTTTTTTTTTCAATTTTCGGATGTGTTTTGACGTTTTTGAGTATGGCTTAAAATCTAATTGATCGATTTTGTCAAACAAGCCCTTAAATTGAAGGTATTTGAGCCCTCTAAAACTTTCTTTTACATACTTTTGATATCGGATAAGTATTTTAAGGCTAGCGATTTTAATAACTTAAAAAATTCGTTTTTATGGCAAAAATTGAGGTAAAATTTACATATCGTCCTGGGAAAGGTTTAAATCAAACAGATAACTCCAGTTTGATTTTTTTTTCGTGAAGCTGATATTTTTACAAAAAAAAACAAGCTAATGTTGATAAAAATACATGAAAAAATGGCAAAGTTTTGATTTTTTTAGTGGAAAACCAAAATTCAGCTTTTTGACGATTTTTATTTTATTTTCTTTCTTTTATTTTATAATATGTTTATTCTTTAATTAAAACCTAAATAAAGTGCATGCTTGGAGTTTTTTGAGTTTTTAAGTACTCTTTTCACCGAAAACATTATTCATATGACATGACCCCGCAAACGTGAATTCTTTTGTTTCTCGTTTTGACTTAGTGACATTTTACTGATATTTTCTGATATTTCAACAAGGTATTTTTATCATGGTTTTATTTAGTTAATAAAAACTAAAAAATGAGTAAAAAAAAGTAGAGTTCGAGTGCGTAAATAACCCGGACAATCTGGGCGACGTAAGTTATGAGCACGGAGAACGTTTTCATCAGCAAATGAAGGTTATGGAGCGGCGGTATCACGGCTTCGGGTATGCAGCCATGATTGGTGATTACATTTGGTCCCTCATACGAGAAACGGAATACGAAAGCAACAAAAAACGAAGAAAGACAGAATTTTTTTAAACCTATGCTTATTACAACAAAATGTTTAATATTTATTGTTTAATTTTTAATTTATAATTTAATTTCAATATTTAAAGTTTAAAATAAAAATCATTGTTCAATATTAAATTTTATATAATTCAATAAAATGAAGAAAAAACGTAAAAATTCTCGAAAAACTGAATTTTGGCCTTCCACTGAAAAATTCATAACTTCGCCATTTATCCATGGATTTTTATAAACAGCAGCTTATTTTTTCCCTTTAAGTATAATCTATACGTAAAATAAATCAAACTGGAATTATCCTTTTGATTTCTATCTTTTCCAGACAGATATGTAAATTTTCGACCTTGATTTTTGGAAAATATCGCAATTGTAAATGGTACCATAAATTTATGAATGGTATACTGACATTGACATTGTGTATTCTGTGATTAATAGTTATCTACTGTTTTCTTTTCTTTGTGCAGTTGACATTCGTATTGTATTAAAAAAATCGCATTTTCATGTAAATTCGAGGTGTGTTCAGAAAATAACGGGAATTGTTAAATTTCGCGGGTTCAGAGGGTCCGGTTGTCATAAAATTTTCTTTATTATGTTGGTATACATGCCCCCGAAGTATGATACAAACTTTAGCTGTTTTCATTGTTTACTTTATCTGTGGCAGCCGCTAAGGTTAGACGTGTTTTATGAGCTCGGCGATTTTTCGTTCGTTAAAAGAAATGGATCAAAGAATTTGTATCCAATTTTGCTTCAAAAATGAAATAAATTCTGTGAAATGTTAACAAAGGCCTATAGTGAGTCTGCTATAAGTAAAACAAGAGTTTACAAGTGGTATAAGAGTTTATAAGATGGCCGTGAAGACGTTGAAGATGACGAACGCACAAGCACATTAACAACCGATAAAAACATGGAAAAAGTGGAAGAAATGGTTATAAACCATCAGAGAAGTCGCTGATGATGTTGGTATATCGATTGGCTCATCCCATGAAATTTTTTCGAATGTTTTGGGTATGAAACGCGTGGCAGCAAAATTTGTTCTAAAATTGTTAAATTTTGAACAAAATTTTTGTCAAAAACAAAACTGTAATGATGCCCCAGCCTCCATATTCGCCAGACATGCCTCTGTCTGACTTTTTCCTATTCCCAAAAATAAAGAGAACCTTAAAGGGCCGTCGTTTTGCAAGCATAGATGACATTAAAAGCGAATCGCTGAAAGAACTAAAGGCTATCTCAAAGATCGAGTTTTAGAAGTGTTTCGAGTATTGGAAGAAGAGCTGGCACATGTGCATAATATCCAATGGGGACTATTTTGAAGGCGACAACATTAATGTATACGAATAAATAAATATTTGTTTCAAAAAACGAAAATTTCCGATATTTTCTGAACACACCTAATATGTTATTTATGTCCTTTTCAAAATCAACTATTCAGTTTTTCTATGCTAAATACTAGATTTTGGCCAAAAGCGACTTAATCAACTACCAGCACAACCACAGGGACCTAATTTGCAACAACTACACAATGAAAGCGGCCTTGTGGCAGTTCTACGGTAAAACCGAAATGGGCTCCCTCTGGAGCCAACTCTTCATGTACCTCAACTTGGACTCGTGGTCACCATCAAACGCTTTCTACGGCGAAGGTTTCTGTCTGTCGATGTGCAACATCGCCAACAACCTCTTGCAGCAAGGCGACTACAATTTGGTGCACGTTTTGCTGAGTTTTTTGAGGCGGCGTTACCCGAACGAGCCTCGGTGTTTGGCTTGGAAACTCATCGAGAATTTGTTCGTCTACACCAAGGCGTTCCACAACGAAAAATGGTACGACGCGGAGTGCGCGGCCCAAAAAATCATGGTTCTCAATAAGTACGAAGGGTACCTACGCTTGGGAGAGCTGTATTACTACAAAGAAGACTACGCGGAAGCCCACAGATGCGCGACAGATTTACTCAAACTGTTCGACGAGGAAAAAGACATGTTCTTCTATACGAGAGCCAAAGTTCTTCTAGCAGAAATACAATTCGCTTCCTCTTTTCCCAATATTCCTCCAGGCATTATTACTATCCTAGAAGACATTCTAATGGATGCCACGAAATACCGACTGGACTTCCAAACGGCCATAATTTATCTGCACATAGCCCACGTCCAATTTCTCATGGGGCTTACGAGTCAAGCGTTGAAAGTGCTGGATAAGGCGCTGGTGCAAATTATGGCCCATGGTGGTAATTTTGATAGAGCCAGAGCTATGCTTTTGTACGCCAAATTGTTAATAGCTGGTTCCAAAAACTTGGATGAATCCCCAAGGGTGGCGGTTTTGAATGATGCAGCCGATATTTTGGAGAAAGTTAAGAACGATTTTGATAAAGTCCAGGCTTATTCCAGGGTCAAAGACGTGTTGTATTTACAGGTAAATTGTGCATTTGCATTTCGGCCCAAATCACTTATGTTTTGTCTTTTAGTCTCAACTGTATGATATAGTAAAAAGGAAGGAAGAAAGAAATAAGTGCTCGCATGAATTTAGAAAGTTAGGGGAAGTACACAACACCAAAAATCATTTTACTCTTGTAAAATACCTGTAAATAAATAAAGTGTTTGTTAAATAAAACAATGGTTTGGTTTATTATTTATTTAAAATATGCATAATAAAATCTAGGCAATATTAAATACTATATTGGGCATAAATATATGATCACAATCAATAATTCGACTCTGGAGATATCTATTTCATAATTACTTAATATGTACGTTCATATTTACAAATTTTAGACTTATACAATGAATGAATAAATATTTACACTCTCGTAACTGTACAAAAAAAAGATAGTACATCGATTTACCACTAAAGAAAAAACAAAATATATCATCAACAAAAATAAGTTACAAAAATGACTAGAACGTTTTACATTTCCTTAAAACTAAACAACAAAAATTTTCAATTATTGTCCAATTTCTCATGGGGCTTACGAGTCAGGCGTTGAAAGTGCTGGATAAGGCGCTGGTGCAAATTATGGCCCATGGTGGTAACTTTGATAGAGCCAGAGCTATGCTTTTGTACGCCAAATTGTTAATAGCCGGTTCCAAAAACTTGGATGAATCCCCAAGGGTGGCGGTTTTGAATGATGCAGCCGATATTTTGGAGAAAGTTAAGAACGATTTTGATAAAGTCCAGGCTTATTCCAGGGTCAAAGACGTGTTGTATTTGCAGGTAAATTGTGCATTTGCATTTCGGCTTAAATCACTTATGTTTTGTTTTTTAGTCTCAACTGTATAATATAGTAAAAAGGAAGGAAGAAAGAAATAAGTGCTCGTATGAATTTAGAAAGTTAGGGGAAGTACACAACACCAAAAATCATTTTACTCTTGTAAAATACCTGTAAATAAATAAAATGTTTGTTAAATAAAACAATGGTTTGGTTTATTATTTATTTAAAATATACATAATAAAATCTAGGCAATATAAAATACTATACTTGGTATAAATATATGATCACAATCAATAATTCGACTCTGGAGATATCTATTTCATAATTACTTAACATGTACGTTCATATTTACAAATTTTAGACTTATACAATGAATGAATAAATATTTACACTCTCTTAACTGTACAAAAAAAATAGTACATCGATTTATAATAAAGAAAAAACAAAATATATCATCAACAAAAATAGGTAACAAAAATGACTAGAACGTTTTACATTTCCGTAAAACTAAACAACAATAATTTTCAATTATCGTCCAATTTCTAATGGGGCTTACAAGTCAAGCGTTGAAAGTGCTGGATAAGGCCTTGGTGCAAGCTATGCTTTTGTACGCCAAATTGTTAATAGCTGGTTCCAAAAACTTGGATGAATCCCCAAGGGTGGCGGTTTTAAATGATGCAGCCGATATTTTTGAGAAAGTTAAGAACGATTTTGATAAAGTCCAGGCTTATTCCAGGGTCAAAGACGTGTTGTATTTACAGGTAAATTGTGCATTTGCATTTCGGCTTAAATTACTTATGTTTCGTTTTTTAGTCCCAACTGTATAATATAGTAAAAAGGAAGGAAGAAAGAAATAAGTGCTCGTATGAATTTAGAAAGTTAGGGGAAGTACACAACACCAAAAATCATTTTACTCTTGTAAAATACCTGTAAATAAATAAAGTGTCTGTTAAATAAAACAATGGTTTGGTTTATTATTTATTTAAAATATACATAATAAAATCTAGGCAATATTAAATACTATATTTGGCATAAATATATGATCACAATCAATAATTCGACTCTGGAGATATCTATTTCATAATTACTTAACATGTACGTTCATATTTACAAATTTTAGACTTATACAATGAATGAATAAATATTTACACTCTCTTAACTGTACAAAAAAATAGTACATCGATTTATAATAAAAAAAAACAAAATATATCATCAACAAAAATAGGTAACAAAAATGACTAAAACGTTTTACATTTCCGAAAAATAAACAACAATTTTCAATTATCGTCCAATTTCTCATGGGGCTTACAAGTCAAGCGTTGAAAGTGCTGGATAAGGCGCTGGTGCAAATTATGGCGCATGGTGGTAATTTTGATAGAGCAAGAGCTATGCTTTTGTACGCCAAATTGTTAATAGCCGGTTCCAAAAACTTGGATGAATCCCCAAGGGTGGCGGTTTTAAATGATGCAGCCGATATTTTGGAGAAAGTTAAGAACGATTTTGATAAAGTCCAGGCTTATTCCAGGGTCAAAGACGTGTTGTATTTACAGGTAAATTGTACATTTGCATTTCGGCTTAAATCACTTATGTTTTGTCTTTTAGTCTCAACTGTATAATATAGTAAAAAGGAAGGAAGAAAGAAATAAGTGCTCGTATGAATTTAGAAAGTTAGGGGAAGTACACAAAACCAAAAATCATTTTACTCTTGTAAAATACCTGTAAATAAATAAAGTGTTTGTTAAATAAAACAATGGTTTGGTTTATTATTTATTTAAAATATACATAATAAAATCTAGGCAATATTAAATACTATATTTGGCACAAATATATGATCACAATCAATAATTCGACTCTGGAGATATCTATTTCATATTTACAAATTTTAGACTTATACAATGAATGAATAAATATTTACACTCTCTTAACTGTAAAAAAAAATAGTACATCGATTTATAATAAAGAAAAAACAAAATATATCATTAACAAAAATAGGTAACAAAAATGACTAGAACGTTTTACATTTCCGTAAAACTAAACAACAAAAATGTTCAATTATCGTCCAATTTCTCATGGGGCTTACAAGTCAAGCGTTGAAAGTGCTGTATAAGGCGCTGGTGCAAATTATGGCCCATGGTGGTAATTTTGATAGCTATGCTTTTGTACGCCAAATTGTTAATAGCTGGTTCCAAAAACTTGGATGAATCCCCAAGGGTGGCGCTTTTGAATAATGCAGCCGATATTTTGGAGAAAGTTAAGAACGATTTCGATAAAGTCCAGGCTTATTCCAGGGTCAAAGACGTGTTGTATTTACAGGTAAATTGTGCATTTGCATTTCGGCTTAAATCACTTATGTTTTGTCTTTTAGTCTCAACTGTATAATATAGTGAAAAGGAAGGAAGAAAGAAATAAGTGCTCGTATGAATTTAGAAAGTTAGGGGAAGTACACAACACCAAAAATCATTTTACTCTTGTAAAATACCTGTAAATAAATAAAGTGTTTGTTAAATAAAACAATGGTTTGGTTTATTATTTATTTAAAATATACATAATAAAATCTAGGCAATATTAAATACTATATTTGGCATAAATATATGATCACAATCAATAATTCGACTCTGGAGATATCTATTTCATAATTACTTAACATGTACGTTCATATTTACAAATTTTAGACTTATACAATGAATGAATAAATATTTACAATCTCTTAACTGTACAAAAAAATAGTACATCGATTTATAATAAAGAAAAACAAAATATATCATCAACAAAAATAGGTAACAAAATGACTAGAACGTTTTACGTTTCCGTAAAACCAAACAACAAAAATGTTCAATTATTGTTCGGTGCTGAAGTACGAGTTTTGCATGAGGTAGAGTTTATCGATTGGGTTCGCTATCGAGCCACCAGAGGGCGCCGTATCGTGCTGGTGGGAGTGCGACTGAAGTTCCAGGTTTTGAAGCGAGAGGGTGTCAGAAGTTCCTTCGTCTAAGTGGTCGAAGTTCGACGTGTCGTCTAACGAGATGTCGGAACTGCAGAAACTGTCGCCAGAGTGCGCTGGATAGTTATCTGCAATAAAATAAGAAATACGTTAGTATTGTTTTTAGAGGGCAATGTTTTATTTGAGTCGGGATTGTTTTGGTAAATTTTTAAGTTTAGAGATTGTATTACATAAATACAGGGTCTAATAAATTGTCATCCTTTGGGGCAAAACAAGAAAGTTTTTTCTCTATCATTTTTGCATTGGATGTTACTTTACCTCAACCTCAAACAACACAGCAAACGGAAAATCATAGAAGTGTATAGGATCCGCGTTTGAATATCAAATCTTAAAGTTTTATCATAACTGTATTGAATCGTGCTTTGTTTTTATATTTTTCGGCTCTATACCTATGCACGACTATATTTAAAGTCAAACTCAATGGTGTCTTACAAGATACATTATTTTGATTTTCTATATTCAACAGAGAGGTAGAAACTCGACCCTGTCGAATGGTGCAGTCATTTATGTCTCTATAGAGATTTTCTATAGAAATTATTAAAAAAGGGTTCAGTCCAATGGTGCAGCAACTTCGGATTCCTATTCTCTTCAGAGACATAGAAACTCAAGCTTTTACTTTTACTGGCAATGATTTTCGTTAATGTCCCCGAGAATTATACAAAAACAGCGCAATGCAATATCGCAACGGTTTCGACTTCTCTTTACTCTACCAAGTTATAGAAACTGGAGTGTTTTCTAATACTATTCTAGTCAATATTTCTGAGAGTATAAAAAGAGGGTGTAATTATTGCAAGAAGTTTTGATCTTTTGATGGATGCAAGTAGTTTGATTATTCTCATTTCTACATATGATTTTGTTGAAAATAATTCCTTTCTTTGGTTCGTTTGTCTGATTTTTATTTACCGTTACAACTCAGGTATGTAAAGCACAGAGGATATGATGTAAAGTATATTTATGTATTATATAAAGTATACCTATAAGGTATACCTATATTTGTATTAAAAATTTCAGAGGTTATGTTGAAAAAATGATCGATATGCTATTAAACTTTAATAATTTAGTAATGAGGTCTGTTGGTAGATCCTGAACATCTCCACTGGAAGTTTTATGTTAGTTCAGCAATATTTAAATCTAGTTGATCAAAAAGTATACACCAGTGCAGGTTATTGTAGCATCTACGAACAAATGAATTAATGGCCCATTGACAATTATTCCTTTAGGAAAAATTTTCAACACAGTTTAATTAATTAATAAAATGAAAAAAATCATGTCGTATATAGTTTTTTTTTAAGCATAAAATAGTTTTCATTTTAATACTAGTTCAAAAGTGAAATTACGACCTCTATACCGTGGGGAGATTTAGAAAACTATATTCAAACGTGGCGTCATCCTATACACTTCTATAATTTTCCGTTTGCTGTGTTGTCCATTAATATTCTTTAATATTCGTTTAAATCCGACATCAAATAAAAAAGTTATTTGCGATTGAAATTCATCGAAAATTTGTGTGGATCGATTGTTTTGCCTGTGAGTGTATCATCTTAAAGGATGACAACTTATTTGGTGACAGTTCAAATTATTGTTTTGATTGAGTTAATTTTAAAAAAATTTGTGTATATAAGAAGGTGTTTTAAAACAGTTGTTTTAGGTTTGTTTATTTACCGTCAGGCGAGTACGGCAAATTAGGATTTGTACCGTTCGCAGCGGGAAAATGAGAGTCGCCCAAGTAGCCCATGCCATGCAAAAAATTGTGTCCATGGTCACTCGACGGCGACTCTTGCTTAATTAGTCTATCGTCCTTATTAGGAGCGGTAGTATCACCTTTGTCTTTATCGCTGGGCGATTTGCCGTCGTCCTGCTTCGCCTTCCGCTGGATCTTCTTCATCTTGGCGCGCTGGTTCTGGAACCACACTTGCACCACCCGCACGCTGAGCCCCGTCTCCTTGGCTAGCGCCTCGCGCACCTTGCGGCACGGCTTCGGGCTCACCTCGAACGAGGCCTTGAATTGTCTGCGCTGCGCCGACGTCAGGATTGTTCGCGGGCGTTTCGGACCTCTCCTGCCTGTAAACAGAATTAGGGTTAGAACAACTGCCTTTTTTGGTTAAGAAGTTTTTTTAGTTCTTTATTAGTGGATTTGACATAATAGTATATTATGTATTAAGTTTGATAAACGCCATTTTATACACGAATTTAATTTAGGCACGAGCGAGCTTGCGAGCGAGTGCTTAAATTAATGAGTGTATAGAAAAGTTTATAAACGAGGTGCATACTATACTTTTTCTACGACAAATACTTATTATTATCTTAAAATGATTTAAATAAAAAATTTGTATAGAGCGCCATCTATGAAACAATAGGGGAAACTGTCAAATGTCACATGTTTACATTTTATAAACACAATTATAAAGGTTATAAATCGAAATGTATTTCTTGAAAATTGACAGTTTTTCACAGTGAAAGTAAAGGAAATGTTTTATGAGGACTTTACAGTGGAGTCCGTGCCCGAATTTAAGTTATAGTTTACTGCCGGCGAAATTAAAAGGTCAGTACAATGTTCATATAAACTTTTCAAATATTGGCGTTGAAAAACTATTTAATACTTTTGTATTTTTGTATTGAGCTAATAAAATAATTTTCAGATTTAGTATTATTTTACAAGAAAGGCACTTTATTTTAACGATTGTATGACATTTGACAACTGTCAACTAACTTAAAACTAACTTCAGCCCGTGACTAAAAACCTGTACCTAGCTAACTTCGCCATAAAGCCACAACTTGTCAATGTGTATTTAAAAGGTCACTTAGTCATGGAAACATGTACGATAAAGGGCGTTTTAAAGTTAATTTTATTAATTAGATTAAAAAATCGCCGCGGCGGGCAAATACATATACAGTGCTTGCAAATCCAAGTCCGACCGCACTGGAAAGGACGGCTGTTCAATACCCGCGTGAAAAGAACAAGGATAGAACGCCAAATAGAATTTGATTGGCCAGAGCCGGCAGGCTACGACAACGCATACCCATCGCGCACCTTGCAGCGTGCTTGCCTCGAGTCGAGGATATCAGAACGAGAACTGCAGTGGTGCCAGCAAGAGGTAGTAATTTTAGTAAAAAAGATTATTTAATTAAAAAATGTACACGTTGGAACAAAAAGTTCAGATTTTAATCTGGCACTTTGCTGGTAATTCTGAACGAGAAATTCAAAGATTATTTGCGGGAATGTTCGAGGCCAGACCAAACAGAGAAACAATTCGACGAAACGTTAATAATTTTCTCACGCACGGTTGTGTAGTTCCGATGCAGTTCCGACGGGAATTTTTATAATAGGTTATGCTATTGTTTGGCTGCCTATGGGGGCTTGTTCGAACATTTAATTTAATTTTTGAGTTTATTTATTTTTATTATTTATTTTTAGAGTTTTATTTTTATTTAGAGTTTTATTTTTATTTATAGTTACTATTTTTATTCAGAATTATTTTTTATTTGAGAAATCTTTTTTATTAAGAATACTATTTTTGTTGTTGCTCTAGTTCTCAAGGAAAAAAATCAAACAATTTTATTTTTAGGATTCGGGTATAAAATATTTAAAAAGAAAATTAAAATGTGCATCTACACTCTAACGCAGTTTGCTTAACACTAAATCATTTAGTCTAAATGCAGCCAGACTGAGAGTTGACCTCGCTTACAATTCGCACGCATCCGGGGCTCTGGCCAATCAAATTCTATTTGGCGTTCTATCCTTGTTCTTTTCACGCGGGTATTGAACAGCCGTCCTTTCCAGTGCGGTCGGACTTGGATTTGCAAGCACTGTATAATGACCGTCGCAACAAACAGTATACGTAGACTTCCTACATTTAAATGACATTTGATTTGATCATCAAATGACATTTGATTTACCTAATCATCAATATTAATTATTATAATAATTAATATTGATACTATAGTATTATTAAATGTGATTTCGAATAAAAATTAATATGCACCTCGGCATTAAAGTCATTTTTTAACACTCACGTAGTTATTTGCCTTGGCTTTCGCCTCGGCAATAATTTCCACATTTGTGATAAAAAATACTACTGCCTTACTGCCTTGATAATACATATATAACTATTGTTTTATAAACTTTACATGTTTTCCCTTATTATTCTGTTTAAATTTTTTAAAGGTTAGTATTTTTTCTAAAAATGTTAAAACGGAGATTTAAAAAATACAAATAATAGTCCTAAATATTCTTTTTTCCTTTAAAAACTACCCAAGTACCTAGTTTTTCATTTTTTTTTGGGTTTTAGCATTTTTATTCACCTTTATGTTTATTTTAACTAAAAAAAAAGTTTTTCCCAAGTAATTTTCGTGTTATGTTTATATAATTTAGTTTTATATTTTTATTTTTGTTATTTAATTTTTTAAGACAGGTGCTTTTTGGTACACTTATTATGGCTTTATGACTACCTATAATTTAAAGCATAAAAATACAAATTTTTTGGTAAAGTTGTTGGATTTTGTTTTTATTTTTTTAATTATTTTAATGATTTAAAATTATACATATATTTATACAAGGTGTCTCTGAATTTAATCCAAAATTTAAAAAAATCAATGTCCTCATGATTTTTTAAAAATACATATTTGCTAATAATAACAAAGTTACATTAGTATATAACTGTTACAGCATAAATGCTGATTTAAAGTTTTGCTATTTTGAAAAAAACAGTCAGTAAAATATATATTTAGTCTTTCAATGGAAAGCTACTCGTCAGAATAAAAAAATGTAGTTTTTATTCTTAAAACGTAAAATGAACATTTCTAATATTTTTTTTTAATTACAACAATTTTTAAGGTATTTTCCTTAATTTAAACTGTTATTAAAATTTTAACTCAACGTCTTGGACATTAAAAATTATAATACGAAATTTCTTAAAATGGAAACTGAAATTTATAAATTAAAACGTCAGACATATGTACATATGTTACATACTTGTACATATGTTATATATGACCTTTTTATGCTTCTTTGGTATTCGACATTTTTTAATTTTATATTTAGTAATTTTTTAGTAATATTCTAAAATATTTTGGAAAAATGGACTTGATTATAAACCGTTCCCCAGAAACTTTTAATGGACTACAACGTGAAACACCCTGTATCATTATAGTATTATGTATATTTTACCCAAATACCAATATTTTTTTTGTTATTTTTTCAAATTTAAACGTTTATAGGACCTTTTTACAAAAATAATATTATTACTAATAAATGTTTTGTTTACTTAAATTATAACTTAAATAATTTTTATGAATTAATTTATTAATAGATTATCACAATTTGTATAGCTTTTTAATTTGAAACCAGTATAAAGTTTTGACTGGTTTCATGCTATTACTCCCGATTTTTTTTCTTTCAATGTTACATATTGTAATATATTTTTCCAATATTTTTTTCTTGGATTATCATTTTTAAATATTTGTGCTTTTTTGATGCACTATATTTAAACTTTTTTGTTTTTAATACTTTAATTAAAAATTTTAAATTAACTGCATTATAAAAAATAGTATTTTTTATAATTCAAACTTTTGATGACATCTTTCTTACCGTCTCTGGGTCTGCTGTTCTCGTCCATCAAGTCATCGTCGCCGCTGCCCGCCTGCTGCATAAGGTACATCTCTTTCTCGAAATCGCCGCGGCAAAAAAGCTGCCCGGCCCTCAGGACGAACTGCTCGCCCTTCTGCAACGGCTGGCAGCACACCACGCACACAAAGCACGGCAAATGGAAGACGTGCTGCTGCGCCCTCATCACCATCTCGTGCGGCTGCAGCCTGTCCCCGCATCTCGAACATTTTACCCCGAATATTCTGAAAAAGAGATCAAAAGATATTGATATTGTCTTGTACATTTTTGTACAAATTTTGTATGTACACGGAAAGAAATGGATAGTAGAAAATTTATAGTACACTATTTTTATTAATAGTCACTATAAATTATATTAAAAACAACATACCAAGTTATTAGCACTGACTATAAAAATATTTTCATATACAATACATATTCAATTAACTATATTTTATATCATCTTTAACTAAAATAAATTTAGTTACACCAGATTTTAAATTATGGTTGTAATAAATATACGAGATATTGCTTATTACTATAATTATAGTAAAATTAACTCCCTTGTATAGTCAACCACCATAAGTCAACTTTAAACTTGGGTTCTTCATTTGCATTGCATAGCAACAATGGCAGTGCCCAGATAGCACACATACGTCCACTGGATATCCTTAGGACGTCAACCCAGGACATAGTGGACGTCCTACGGATATCCGAAGACCACGAATGGACGTCCGTAGGACTTCCAAAGTAGACACTTTTGGTTGTCCTTTGGCCGTCCTATAATGGTCTATTAAAGACTGTCCTAGGACCAAATTTGGCCATAATTTGGCTGACAGGAATAAAAACTAAAACACCTAAAATTTTTAACCAAACATTTTTATTCACCTATATTATAATTACAGCACAAATGTCCAGAGGACGTCCAAAGGATATCCCCTGGACGTCTCAGTGTCCAAATGACATCCATTGGACGTCCACTGCCGGTAAATTCGAAATTCAGACATTCCTTGCTTTGCGCTGACTTCAACTTGTCTGGTCCACCTACAATGTATTTTCCCTATGACATAGGCTATGTATAGCTTGCAAATGAAGGAACGGTATATGAGCTCATGAGCACCACATAAAAAAAATTCACGGTTAAATAGAAATAAAAGCTTTTTTAGATATTAAATAAATAAAAGCTTTTCTAGATAACAATAAAAATGATAACCTCACTTTGTATTCAACTATAGTTTGGTTGTTGTAAAATTTTGATGTAGGGCTTTGGGAGGATAAAATAAAATTTAGAAAGTATAGAAAGAAATCCCTTGGAAAGTAAAAACAATAAAAATGTGTTTTTATAAAATATTTTTTTTAAATCCTTGTTTTCACGATTTGTTTACGCCCAATTATCAGTGCAACCGTAAATTTTGTTTGTGTGGTACAGTCTATTAGTCAAAACAAACCTAATCTAATTACTTACTTGAATTTATTCTATTACAAGTCTATAAACAGCCAATACCTAGTAGAAATCACAACACACAATGTAGAAACACCGCCATAAACGCCATCACACAGCAAAAGAACGCCATTGCAACGGATTATGGGAAGCGTCGTCACGAACCCGTTCGGTTCTACCCGAAGAAGACCGATGTTTAAAATTTAAAACTATACGTTATAATAACGGTGTTTTTATACATTTAAACGTAATAGCGTTGAGTAAAGAAGTAGTGAACTTATTAATCAATGGTACCTAATAGAATTTAATTGAATTTAAAAATGATGCAGTAATGGATTTTACTACCTTTACGTGATAACAAGAAATTTTAAATTAAATATAAATGTATAAATCCCGACGAATAGTACGAATATGTATTATAAACTACCTATATTCAATAATAAACTTAATTTTTTTGTAAATTAGGTAATCTTTCTTATAATAAGGCTAATCGATTTGATTGACTCTCTGTGACACCCTCAGGCTGTCCCACGAACATCCAAAGAAGGCAAAAGAGAAACCTCATAAAAATAGGTGGTTTATATAATTTGTACATGATATTTAATATTACCCACAATTTATTACATATTCGAAACTTCTTGAACGAAAAGTTTAGGCATGATACCCCATGGGTGCACCCACATAGTACAAGATATCCAAAGGATGTCCAATGGACGTCATTTGGACATCCTGTGCTGTGTGAGCAGGAACGTCCTATCTAGGTAATTCTCGACTTAGCCAGGCCGAACGGGTCTGGGACATCCATAGAACGTCAATTATAGACCTGGTCCGGCTAAGCCTTATTTGGCTTACTTTGGACGTCCAAAATACGCCTAATCAGGCTAAGCCGAACAGGGTCTAGACTTGACGTTCTATGGATGTCCCAGACCCGTTCGGTCTGGCTAAGCCGAGAATTACCTAAATAGGACGTCTGTGGGTTATCTTGTGCTATCTGGGTGGTAAGAGTAGGTTGTTATTTTGTGGTGCATCGTATTATTTAAATATGTTACAATAATTGTGGTTTAATTTCAAGTATTTTAAGAAGGGAAGTAAATGAATTTATCTCCACGCGGTCTATAATTTAAACTTTATTGTTGTCAACATTCGATAAAGAAATACCTTGTTATGGCCTAGGCCGATAAAATTTTTTATGAGGCAAGTAATTAGTTCGATTTTTTCTCGCTAGGGGTATTGTTTTGACAAATTAATCCTTTTCTAAGAAATTAACGTACTAAACTGGTTTAATTTATTTAAAATAAGCACTAATTTGTTTGTTTTACTGTTATAACATTATAATGTTTAATATTTTTCATTAAATTATTGTAAAATTAAATATGAATAATAAAACAAAAAGTGTGGTTAGGACATTGCAATTTGACGTTTCTGTGAATTTCACAGTTGTTTTCTTTTTCTACGATTTAAATTATCTTCAAATTTTAATTTGCTTTAAGTTTTCAGTGAAATTAAATGTTAAATACAGCGTAAACATTCCAAACTACCTATTTTTTTAATAAAAATGCAAACAAATTGAAATTAGATACCTATTTATTAAACAATTAATTGAATTCAATGTAATAGCAAGAGGGTAAGTAAACCATTTTCTTACAAAAATCCATTTCTACTTAAATCATGTAGCTAGGTATTGTCAAACTATTACTGCTTCTAAAAGGAAAAATAATTATTGTACATTTAATGTAATCTTTAGCTAATAAATAAATGAGGTTCTAAAAAAGTGAGGTTAGGCCGCTTTCATGTTAAATTAAATTGACCTATATAAAGTGCTTTGAAGATAAAATGTTGTATGCCATTCGGCCAAGAAGTGTCTTTTTGTGCTTCGCTCAATTGTAGGCCTCCGCTACGCGTCGGCCTTCAAACTTTGAGCTTAGCACAAAAAGCCTTACTTCTTAACCTAATGACATAAATAACTATTATTTATAGATTATGTAAAAAGCTAACATTCACTTACAAAGTTATGAATATGTGATCCTAAAGAGTACAAATTAATTTTATAAAAATACCGAATTATTTAGATACTTAAACTTAACTTTTAATTTTATCTTTTTTCTCTTGTGATAATTAGAGTTTAAGAAAAACTGTTTTTTAGTTATATTATTTTATTTTTAAAATATGTTTTATTTTGTTTTAAAATATGTTACAATTTTGGTTTAATTTTAAGTATTTTAAGAAGGGAAGTAAATGAATTAATGTAAAGTAATGAATGTAAAAAGCTAACATTCACTTACAAAGTAATGAATATGTGATTCTAAAGAGTACAAATTAATTTTATAAAAATACCGAATTATTTAGATACTTAAACTTAACTTTTAATTTTATCTGTTGTTCTCTTGTGATAATTAGAGTCTAAGAAAAAACTATTTTTAGTTATTTTTGGAATATTTTTGTTTTGTTTTAAAATATGTTTGTGGCAATAAATATATAAAATATTTATATGATGCTTTTATTTTACAATTTTATGTATGTTTGTATACAGCTGTTTGTATACAGCTGTACTCTAGAGTGATTCAAAATTGTGGAATTAAATGTCGAGAGATATGGGTTCTTATATGTCTTCTATTATTGCACTGAAGACCTCTTGATATTTCATCCCATGATTCTAAATCACCCTGTATAGGTACCAAAAAAACTGTTAAATATTACTATAAAAACTAGTTAAAATTTACTAAAATTTATAGTAAAACATACCAAATAAAATATAATTTAAAGAAAAAAAATAGTAAATCTTATAAAAAATATAGTTAAAATTATTATACCAAGATATTTATTACTAATATATTGTTTTTTAAATATTACTATAACATTTTAATAAAAGCTAACATAATATTTTTGTACAAATTATTAAAATTAATTATATTCATAAATTTAAAAAAATCATACAATACAATACATATATAGTTAAATTTACTAAACAATAATAAAAGATAATTAACATATTTTATGCACGATGACATTATAATATGACAATTATAACAAAAATTCTTTGACGTAAACGTCTTTTTATAGCCCGCGGGCGTTATTATGGCCCAGCGGGCTATAATGAAACGTCAAAAATTAAAAACAACAATGTTACACCATTTGATATATTCGAAGTAAGTTTTTTCGTATAAAGATTTTGATTTTACCGGCAGCAGGCCGCAATTTTTCGCCTTTTCAGCTGCTTCCTCAATTTCATTTATCTTTAAACTTTAAAACTGACTGATGTCAGTTGACATTATTATATATAATATGACAATTATAACAAAAATTCTTTGACGTAAACGTCTTTAAAAACAATAATATATTAAAAATAATAATATATTAATCGTGCATAAAGTTTTGTATGCATTGCTGGCATAACTGGTTTTTATGGTCCTGCGACGCTTTTCTAGCCCTCGCGCTAACGCGCTCGGGCTCGAAATAACGCCTCGGACCATAAAAACCTTATTATGCCCTTAATACATAAATAACTATTATGGTTAATTTTAAAATATCATATAGCTGTCCCTATATTTATTAAAAATTATAGTATAACTTACTAGATTTATATTAATAATGACTTTATATTTCTTTTCGTGTACTATGCTCCACACCTCAAAGTCCCACCACGTGACCACGTACTTTTGAAAATTTGTCAGTTAAGGCTTTTCAGGTTATGTATCTGTCAAAGTATAGTCAATGAAAGAAATGTTATGTTTAGGCGTTAAAAATGTATAAATCTTTATAACATTACAATAAATATTCTGAAAAAGAGATCAAAAGATATTGATA